GAAAGGAGGACGCCTTGAATAAGATTTTCGTGTGCGGGGTGCGGTTTGAGGACGGCAGTGTCTGCAGGGAGCGGTTCCCGACGCGTAGGCAGCTACTGCGCCACCAGAGAAGCGCGCATGACGTACGGAACCTATGCCATATCCTGACAAAAACCAACCAGTGCATTGTGTGTGCCTCCATTTTCGCGGATCAGAGGTCGGCAGCGAAGCATCTGGAGAGAAGTTTGCAGAGAGGGTGGTGCGGGAGACGCGGTAGTAGAGTTCTTCGCGCACTGCGAGTTCCTGATTCGTTCTCGTGTAACTTGTGCGAGTTTGAGGGGCCCGCGGGCTGGCGCGACCTTAGGAGGCACTTGGGCTGAAGCCATCTTCCCTGGCCAGTCACAGCGCGCAAACCTGGACAGCGAGGCCGTGGCCGACATCGCGATGCCGAACTGGCTGAAGAGAGGCGCGGACGCGACGGGGCCCCCTGGATCGGAGGCAGCGTCGCCACCCAAGGAGAAGAAGCCGAAGGGAAAGGCCGAGCCGGGGGCTCCTGGAGGAGGGGGTGGCAGAGGCGGCGCTGCAGGCGTCGCGGACCTGTGCAAAGCGACGGCGAAGCTCTCCATGGCCGCGGCGAGGCAGGTGGCGGCGCTCGAGGCATGCATCTACGACAACGTAGCGATCAAAGAGGCCGAGGGCATGCTGGGCGAGGTGGGCGCGGAGAGCAAGGCGATGAAGGCCAGACAGGCCGCGGGAGAGACGGTGGACTTCAAAGCGCGGGGGAGCCCGCACATCCGCCTCTTCTGCAAGGCGCTCTACTGGGTGATCGAGAGGACGGGGCCAAAGGGAGCGAGCGTGAACGCCACGGTGCACAAACTCCTGATGCAGTACTGGACGGAGCAGGTGATGCACAAGCCCCTCAAGCTCTTGGAGCAGGACTGCCTTCAGTTCCTCTATCGCAAGAGCAGGAAGGGCGAGGACATGGAGGACAAGTACGGGGTGCTGTCGATGACCTTCGCGAGGCAGGGGGCAGGCGCGGCGGTGGGCCCGACGCTCTGGACGTGCACCAAGGAGCTCGAGCAGGACAAAGTACTCACAGGCTCGGCGCCGAGGGGGCCACTCGAACGCGAGACGTCGAAGTGCCTGGTGCCGGCGACGGCAAAGGGAAAGCCAGCGTGAGTGGGCTGGCGGACAGCACGAGACTGCGCGACCTGATCGCGCGAGGAGTGGTTTCGCCCAGTGCGCTGTCAGGAAAAGGGACTGGCCGTTTCCAAACGTATATATCGCCTCTGCTCCCGCAGATCCCAGTAGCAGTGCTGCCTAGAGAAGGGGGGGGGGAGGTCGCAGTCGGAGTCGTGGACGGGGGGGGGGGGGGGGGAAAGGGACAAGACAAGGGCCAGCCAGGGTAGGAGCAGATTGGGTCACCTCGCGGGGTGCCGAGGGTGGGAGTTGATGGTAGGACGCCGTTCGTCAGCACCGCCCTGGGCCGCCGCGGGGCGGACCGATCTGAGCGTCGAAGGGCGGTCCTCCGAAGTGGGGCACCCACCTGGCTGCGCGCCGAAACGGGTGGGCCGCCCTGCATGGAGGCAGCGCGGGCCTGGGCCCCAGTGGCCTGGCCTCGGAAAACCATTTGTTTTCTTCTCCGTCCGCTCGCGAAATGCGATGCTCCGAGGCCCTGGTTGTTTTCAAGAGCCCTCTCTAGAAGACCGCCCCCCAGTGGAGCTATTCGATTCGATTCGATGGTGATGATGATGATGATGATGATGATGATGGTGGTGATGCAGATGATGTTCATGATTATGCTGATGATGTTGATGCTTATATTGATTATGATGGTGTTGGTGAAGATGCAGCTGATGATCCAGGTCAGGATGAGGATGGTTATGGTGGTGGTGATGATGATGATGATGATGATGCGGATGCTGGTGCTTATTATTGAAGGTAACAACGGTGACAACACTGATGCTGAGGATGATGACGGTGGTGGTGGTGATGAGTTTGCTGATGATGATGATGCTGATGCTGATAGTGATGGTGATGTTGATGACGACGATGATGATGCTGATGATGACGACGGTGATGGTGATGACGCCAGTGGTGATGATGACGATGATGCTGAATGTGATGGTGATGGGGACGGCGATGATGATGATGATGATGATGATGGTGATGTTGATGTTGATGGTGATGATGTGGATGATGATGTGGACGATGATGATGAGGATGCAGCTGAGGATGAAGATGATGATGGTAGTGGTGATGGTGGTGCCGACGACGACGACGACCGACGACGACGATAATGATGTTGATGATGATGGTGGTGAATATGATTATGCTGATGCTTGTGCTGGTGCTGATGATGAGGATGATGATGACGAAGAAGAGGGGAATGATGATGATGCAGATCATGCTGAAGATGACGATGATGATGATGATGATGTTCATGATTATGATGATGGTGGCGGTGGTGGTAATGACGGCGACAATGGTGATGACAATGGTGATGACGATGATGCTTATGATGATGATGGCGGTGGAGATGATGATAACGATGGTGGTGGTGGTGAGGAGGAGGAGGAGGCGCAGGAGGAGGAGGAGGAGTTGGAGGATGCGGGTGATGGTGAAAGTGGTGGTGACGATGATGATTGATGGTAATAGTGACGGCGATCACGCTGATGCTGATGACGATGTTGATGGCAATGACGATGATACTGCTGATGATAAGGATGTTGATGATGCTGATGTTTGTGACAGTGATGATGGTGCTGATGATGCTTATGCTGATGCTGATGCTGATGCTGATGCTTATGCTGATGCTGCTGATGCTGCTGATGCTGATGCTGATGCTGATGATGCTGATGCTGCTGCTGATGATGATAATGATTATGATTCACATCAGGGGCAACGTTAAGAGAGGCTGGATATGGGGGATGCATCGGCCCCCATTCGTCGGGGCTCGATCGAACCCCCACCATGCCAGAGCCACGCCGATTGGCAAACTGTTGTTCGGTTCTCTGGAGGATGCTACGCCCGCAATGTTTGCGGGCCTTCGCCAGCCAGGTCTGGCCCCTGGTCGGCTTCGTTACAGGATGTTCCACTAAGGAGATTTCTCGTTACAACCCCCGAAGTCGCCCATTCCCGGTGGATATGGTAGGCACATAAGACAAGGCATCTGACCCGCAGAAGCTCTGGGGCACCCTAATTCCCTGCAGGATTGACGAAGAGCGTGCCCCTGCAACTCTTATGCGAAGACCTCTGGCCGTATGTGTCTACTTGAGGGGCCGATCGCCCGCCCCGCCCAGGAACGTGCGGACTCGCTATTGGAGGCCTATCGCCGATCAGTCGGCGATGTGTCGCTCATTCCAGCTTGACGCTTCCCCTTCTGAGCCAGCCCCCCTCCTATCGTTCCCACTCCTGAGCCAGCCTCCCTCCTGAGCCAGCCCTCCCCCCCTCCTATCGTTCCCCCTCGCCACTGGACCGTGGGCAACGCTCCAGGACGTTCGGCACTGGCGCTGGTTCGGTCTTCGAGTCTTGTTGTCTGGTGGCCGTTCTCTGGTGGCGGGAGTGGTGGGGCGTTGCCACCCAGAGCTTCGATTTCGTTTGCCTATTTTCTTCCCTTTCAGATATTCATTTGTGTTCCCCTTCCTCATCCTCCATATCTCCCTCTGTCTCCGTCCCCTCCCCTTCCTCCCCTCCTCTGCTTCTTCCCCGCGTCGTCGTCGTCGTCCTCCTCCTCCTCCTCCTCTTCCTCCCCCTCCTCCTCCTCATCTTCCTCCTCCTCCTCCTCCCCTTCCTGTGTCGGTCGGTCAGTCGCAGTGCGGGAAAATTGAAGCGCATATGGAAAGAAAAGACAATAATACCACAGGGGTAATCATGAAGCAACGGCAGCAGCAGACCCACGAGGGGACCATGATGTCTCGAGCGCCGTGATCGCAGGTATGCTCTGTCAGCATGCGGGCCAATACTAAACATCTGTTGACAGTTCAGGAGGGAACGGAGTATAAAACACCGAACGGAACATCATAGGCTCTTCCTCACACGCCGAGCAAACTGACTGATGCCTGCTGATATTGCCAAAGAGGTGGCGCGCCCGGCGGAGCCCTTGGGCGCCGCTTCCCTCGCCTGCACTGCCCTCTCATTAGCATGCTGGGCGGCGTCGCTCGGCGACGCCGAGCTGAAACAGGACAGATCTGTGGGGCCGGATACGAAGCAAACGCAAGCATACAACCTTCACCGTGCTTCCTTGCTCCATGGCAGCACCCTCCGCCAGATATGCGTCCCAGGTCGCCGCAACTCTCCTCAACTCCGCAGGCACAGGCCACTCGCCGTCATCAGCGTCGAGATTCACAGAATAGCTCAACGCTCTTTCGTCGTTGAGGGTCCAACGTAAGTGTGGACTGTCAACAGGTGAGGGAGAGGGATCAGGACACAAACTCTGGAAACTTAGACCTGGCCTCGTACAACGCATTCGCTGCCATGGAACGGATACGACTTGGTGTGGCGGCACGCCAAAGGGCGTCCTCCCCCATTTTTGGTTTTGTTTCACCCAATCGCCCAAAGCCCTGCTGAGAGAAGGAGTGGGTGCGCAAACCACCGCCCTCCACCGTCATTCCTCCTCCTCCTCCTCCTCCTCCTCCTCCTCCTCCTCCTCCTCCTCCTCCCCCTCCTCCTCCACCTTCTCGTTTTCCTCTTCAGTCTCTTACCCATGAGGGGAAGGCTGACGCCTGAGGTCCTTGAAGGTCCCCCGAGGCTCCAAGAGGCCTCTCCAGGTCCTCCCGGGGTCCCTGCAGGCCCCCAGAGGCCTCCCTGCAGGCCCGAAGAGATCCCAGAATAGAGTCCCGAAACGTTCAAGGCCTCGACCCTCGATGCTCGAACCCTGCCACCGCCTCCGCCCTCTCCGCGGGTAGAGGAGGAGGAGGAGGAGGAGGAGGAGGAGGAGGAGGAGGAGGAGGAGGAGGAGGAGGAGGAGGAGGAGGGGGAGGAGGCGGAGGAGGACCCGCGACCTCCCCCCTCTCCACCAGGAAATCGAGGTCAGATCGGACGGCGCAGAGGACGACGCGAGCTGCAGGGCCATCAAGGGCTGCTCGGCGGCGAAGGGCGGGGACAGCCACTGCCGCGAGCTTCGGAAGAGGCTCGAGGAGCGCGGGGCTCAGCAGCAGATCGCGAGCCTCTGGCCGCCTCGGGGCGGGTCGGGGACTGGAGGGTCGTGGGCTCGAGGGGTCGACACTTTCTCGTTGCGCGGGAAGGCCACGGCGGAAGGTTTCTGCCAGTCTTCTGCCTCCAGGGGCCCTCGCCGGGCCCGGGGACCGTCCCGGGGAAGGGGTACAGATCTTCAGGGGTCCCCGCTGTGAACAAGAGCGCGACGTCGGATGTCTGCCGGGGTCGAAGTTTGAGGCTCTCTGCAGCTCTCCGCCCTGCTTTGATCTCCTGGGGTCTTCTCCGCGGCCACGGCTGGGCTCCCCCCCCCACATCCTGGCCAGAACGAGCCCCCAGGGACAGGTCCAGGGGCCGAGTTTTGACGGGGAGCCCTACCTCCAGATCCGCCGTACTTTGGGCGAGGGGAGGAAGGGATGGGGAGGAGGGGAGGAGAAGGATAGGGAGAGGAAAGCGTCGCAGGATGAGGGGGACGAGGCGTAGAAGGAGGGGGTGGAGTTGGAAGAGGAGAAAGGGCGCAGGAGGATGAGGAGCACGGAGGAGAAGGCGAAGGATGATGAATGGGAGGAGGAGGGCGGAGGAGAAGGAGGCGGTGGAGGAGGTTGAGGCAGAAGGACAGCAGCGTGTGGAAATGTGGCGCGCGAGGGCCCGCTCGCGACCTCGATCGGTGCTGGATCCAGCGATCGGGAGGCGCCTGCCAAGGTGGTGCTGAGGTGGCCAACAGCGATGGGCCATTTAGACCAGCATAACACGGTGCGCTGCCATCACAGATTTCGCACGGGTTGTTTAGAATAGATAAGTTTCTCCTCCATTTCGGCATCTGGAGGCCGCTGTCAGGCCACGGGGCCATTGACCCGACGTCTGGAGTCTAGAACCAAAAAGCGTTTCGGGGGAGGGCTTGAGACCTCTGGGGCCCGCGGATTGAACAATAATTCATCTGATGTCTGGGATCGCCTCTCCCTCGTTCCTTCTCCACCTCCTCACTCCTCTTCCTCCGTCTCTTCCCCCTCCTATTCCTCCATCTCTTCTTTGTCCTCCCATCCACTCGTCCTCTTCGACCTCCCCTCCCCTCCATCCCTCTGCACACCTACCCGTTCCTCCATTCCTCCATCTGTGCACCTCCGTCTGCACCTTTGCTCCCTCCAGCATTCCTCCGCCCGCGCCTCCCGCCGTTCCTCCACCTCCGCTCTTACCTCATTCGTCCATCCTCCGCTCCCTCCTCCGTCCCTCCACCCTTCGTTTCCTCCTCCTGTGCCCCCTCCTCCTCCTCCTCCTCCTCCTCCTCCTCCTCCTCCTCCTCCTCCTCCCGTGCCACCTACTCCATCCGTTGTCCTTATAAGCTCCTCCCTGCCGCACCCCAAGACGTGTTGGTAGGGCGGGCTGGCCGTTTCGCCTGGAGTTGCCGTACCATGTGTGAATTTGACGCTTGCAGTTTGCAGCAGCTTGACGGATGGAGGGCGGGTGGTTTTCGAAGTCTTTAAAGAGTTTGCTAGAGCTTCGTGAGCGGAGGGCGGTTCTTTTTCAAAATGTGGCTCTCGCCTGAGCGCCGCACACATTCATCTTAATTCGCAGTGTGTGCAGCGCTTTCAAGTATTCGTATGGCTGACGTCCCAGGAATGGTGCCTTGGCAAGGCATCGGATTGTCAAGGCGCAGCAGTCACGTTGATTTGCGGTGTTGAAGTCCAGCGCGTGGTGTTCTAACACGATTCATAACCGTCGGGGCGCAATAGTAACGCCGATTCGCAGCATAGACGTCCCAGGAATGGTGTTTTGGCACGGTTCAGGATTCTCAGACGGTTGTCTTCCAACGGGGCATTTCCCGCAGTGAAAGTGCATCTTTGTAGGGACCCCTGAGGAGGGATTTTGGAGGGACGGCTCGATGCGACATCATTGATGCGTCTTGGGTTTACTATTGGTCCTCCTCCTCCTCCCCCTCCTCCTCCTTGTCCTTCCCAATTTCATCACACCTCCGCATTCGCTCTCCCCTGCCTGCAGTGCCTGGCAAGGCTGAGCAGGCTGCGAAGCGCAATCGAGCACAGGCTTGCAATTCCCGGCCCGCCTCTCGAGTCCAGAAAGGTGTTGTTTTGTATTCCTTTGTTTTTCGAGTAGGGGATCGATTGCAGAAATTGTTTGTCGAGTAGGGGATCGATTGCAGAATTGCTTGGCCCCAAAACTGATTTTCTCGTCGAGCCTAAACTTAGAATGGAGCATTGCTCGCCCGAATTCCCCGGATCCTGACCGCCACAGGTCGTTGGAGGTACCCAGCCCCAGGAGGCCTCCAGAGGCCCGAGGAGGGCCAGAAGCGTCCCAAGATCGTCCCAAAACGTAACAACCTCCCCTCTGCCGATCGTCTGGAGCCTGTAGAAAAATCTGGGACCTCCACCGTCGTTCCCCCCCTCCCCCCTTCAATTTCCAAAGAACAGAAAATGGCACAAGCACAAATATTTGAGATTTGCGCGGATGTCTTGGATCTGCGCTGAGCCCCCTTGGCGGCGCCGCCCCTGGCGCGCGGAGCGCGCCAGGGAGGGGTGCCCAGCGCAGATCTAAGAAATCCGCGCGGACCTTCGAAGGTTCATGATGATGCAGTCGGTTCTCCTTCTCTTCTGTCAGCGGGAGATCTTCTCCTCTCGATCCTCGAGGGCCGGGGGCAACACTTTGGATCTCCACCTGATTCGTATGGCGCTCTCAAGCCCGTGCCTGTGTCAGTACGCGTGTCAAAGTTTCGCCCCTGCTGGGGCTCGCCAGGACTCGAGGCATGCGAACACAGCAAGTGCACGAGTGACCCAACGCTGCGCACAATGCTCTGCCCAGAGGTGCTCGGGGCCAGGCCAGGCAGGCGGCGTGGCAAGGCTCCGGTCTGGGCAGCAGGGGGTCAGTATCGTTTCACCGATCCCGATCCCCACCAGGCCATGGTAGCTCAGCCCCACCATCCCACCATCCTAGTTGGCGATTGGCCCCTCGAAACCCGAACCTGGGCCGTCTCAACACCCTGGCGCCGCCTCCAGGTACCATCCGTTCCCGCTTTCCCCCCGCCCTCCTTCGCCCTCCCTCGCCCCTTCCCCCGCGCCTTCCCTCGCCCTTCCTTCCCTGAGATGCGACATTGTGAAATCTTTGCGACATCGCGAGAAATCACGACTGGAGTTCTAGAACCCATCCTCTTGGCCGCCATTCTCAGAGCCGCACCGATCTGTGATGGTTCGTTGGCACGAAGCCTGGCGGACATGCCCGGCGCGAACACACTGCAACGCCTGGATATCAGGGCCTCTCGCTCCCCATCCCTCCCCCGCCCCCCTGACATCCGCCGACACGATTGCTAAGGCCTTGCGGCCGGTGCCGCCGACCCTGCAGGCCTCGGCCCTCGATGGAAATTGGAGGGAAAGGGCGGGCCATGGGCCCTGGGAGGGTGGTATTCTGAGTCAGGACCCCCCCCCCTCCCCCCGGGACCTCCCCCCGGGACCACCCCCCAGGACCCCCCCTCCCCCCTCCGCGGGGAAGGGATCAAAGGGAAGGGGCTTCCCTTCGACTCAATGGCAACGTCGCTGAATTTCGGTGTGGATGGGACGCCTGGATCTCAGGGCCCCTCGCCCCCCATCCCTCCCCTGCCTGTTTGACACCCGCCGACATGATTTGTTCAATCCGCTGCCCCAGAGGTCACTACCCCTTTTCCCAGGGGCCAGGCTGCCGCCCCGGATCCATCCAGGGCCCGATATGAGAGGGCGCCAGGGGCCGATCTTGAGGAGCAGCGCTGCAGGGGATGGAAAAAGTCACGTCGCCAGCGATCTGGGGGCTCGCCCTCCCTCGCGGGCAGAGGGGCCCCGTCCGCCTCATCACGGCGGCCGGCGGCGGACCCCGCGCCTGCCCAGGCCCGCCCGGGCCGGGCAGGGAGCCCGCGCCTCTCCAAGACCTGGCGGCCGGCGGCGCCAGCCGCGCCTCTCGCGGAGAAAAGGGGCGGGATCGTGCTGATGCTCGTCATCGGAGCAGGAGGATCTCGACATGCTCGCGTCGAAACAGAAGTCACGACGGATGTGCCATTCCCGAATTCAGCTTGCCCAAGGGGTTCCTACCTGGTCAAAGGTTGGTGCCTCCTGGTGTTACTTTGCCCGTTGCCCGGAGGTTCCCCGGGCTCCCCGCCCCCAGCGTTTCTTGTTGTTACGTTGCCCGTTGCCCGAGGGGTCCCCCTAGGTTCCCTGGGTTCCCTGGGTTCCCCATCCCCGGTGCCTCATGCCAAGCAGTGCCAAGCAATGCGAAGCAATGCGAAGCAGTGCGAAGCAAAGCCAAGCAATGCCAAGCAATGCCAAGCCCAGGGTTCCCCGAGTTCCCCGTCCCCGGTGCCAAGCAATGCCAAGCAATGCCAAGCAATGCCAAGCAATGCCAAGCAATGCCAAGCAATGCCAAGCACAGCGCCCATGCAATAGGAAGCTTTCCCCTAATTGGGGTCGCGCCGGGTTCATTCCCAACCATCTGCTCCTCCTCTTTCTCCTCCTCCTCTTTCTCCTCCCGTCACCCCTTTCACTTTGGCACACCCCTCACACGTTTCGTGGCCTGATGAGGGGGCCCCACCGGAGGCCCAGATGCCAGCGTTCGCATGCGGCCACCGCACCCATTTTGGTACACCCCTCGCACATTTCGTGGCCCAATCGAGAGCTCCACCGAAGGCCCAACTGCCAGCGTTTGCATGCGGCCACTGCACCCATATTGGCACACTCCTCACACGCTTGGTGGTCCCATAAGGAGCTCCACCGAAGGCCCCCGTTTCGTGGCCCGATAGGGAGCTCCACCGAAGGCCCAAATGCTAGCGCTCGCATGCGGCCACCACGCCACTTTTGGTACACCCCTCACACGTTTCGTGGCCCCATAGGGAGCCTCACCGAAGGCCCAGATGCCAGTGCTCAAATGCGGCCACCGCACCCATTTTGGCACACCCCTCACACACTTCGTGGCCCCGTAGGAAGCTCCAATCCACTGAATGCCAAGATGCTAGCACTCGCATGTGCCCACCGGACCCATTTTGGCACACCCCTCTCACGCTTCGCACCCATTGTGTTACACTCCTCACACGCTTCGTGGCCCCATAGGGAGCTCCACCGAAGGGCAAGAGGCCAGTATTCGCATGAGGCCGCCGCACCCATTTGGGCATACCCCTCACACGCTTCTTGGCCCCATGGGGAGCTCCACCGAAGGCTCAGATGCCAGCGCTCGCATGCGCCCGCCGCACCGGTTTTGGCATACTCCTCACACGTGTCGTTGCCCCGTGTGGAGCTCGACCGACTGCGGTGCATAGAACGACGGTGCCCACAACTGCATATGGTGGGGTCCTTCGCCAGGCTAATTTTGTTTTGGGCCTTTAGGGGCCCTCGCTGGGCCTCGGGACCATCAAGAACGATGCATGCAGGATGAAGAACCAGTTGCGGGGAAAGTGTTGGGACTTTCAGGGCCCCCGTATTCAGCAAAATCAGGACATCGCATGTCTGAGGAGGAGGAGGAGGAGGAGGAAGAGGAGGAGGAGGAGGAGGAGGAAGACGACCCGCGCCTCCGTGACCCGGCGGCCGTCGGCACTGGCCGCGCCTCTCGCGGAGAATCAGGCGGGATGATGGTAGTTAGTAGCCATGATGGTGGCCCAGAGCCTCTCGTGCCATGAGAATATCATGGCGACAGGTTTTTTGCTGTTTTCGGCCTCCAGGGGCCCTCGCCTGGCCCTGGGGCCGTCATAAGAAAACAGACTCGGGATGAAAAATTTGCCCCTTGGAGTGGGTCGAGACCTCCGGGGATGAATAATGCGGTCACGGGCATGATCCCTGTGATCCTGGCGTTTCAATGTTTTCGCACTGGGCGTTTTCGCCCACGTTCGAGCCCGGGGATGCTCGCGGGTCGACCCCTCTCGGAGAATGCCACAAACAGATTAGGTCTAGGGCTCTGGTTATGTTTTTTCGCGATGTTGCAGTTTTGTCGCAACTTCGGGTCTCATGGATGGTGCCACGATATCCCAGACATGCACGCGTCGCCAAGAAATCACAACGGCATGTTTTCGTCAAAAGACATGCCAGGACAAACAACTGGTCCCGCGGAAAGGGGCTCCTGGGGTCCGCGTTGTGAACAAGTAGCGCTGTCCGAGTTCTGGGTACGCGGATGATGATGATGATGATGATGATGATGATGATGATGATGATGATGATGATGCTGATGCTGATGCTGATGCTGATGCTGATGCTGATGCTGATGCTGATGCTGATGCTGATGATGATGATGATGGTGATGGTGATGGTGATGGTGATGATGATGAGGATGATGTTGCTGATGAAAATGATGACGATGCTGCTGCTGCTGCTGATGATGATGATGAGTATGATGATGATGATGATGCGTATGGTGATGGTGATGCTGATGGCGTTGATGATGGTGGTGGTCAGGATGATGATGCCGATGATGATGAGGATGATGATGATGACGGTGCTACTATTGTTGATGATGATGGTGATGATGATGAAACGTATGATGATGATGATGATGATGATGATGATGATGATGCTGATGTTGCTGATGATGATGATGCGAATATGAAACTGATGATGGTGGTGATGCTGCTGTTCATGATGATCATGAGGATGCGGCTGACTTCGATGATGATAACGGTGCTAATGCTGTTGCTGATGATGATGGTGATGAGATGTTGATGAAACTTATATTGGTGATGATGCTGATCTGAAGCTGACTATGATGCTGATGATGCTGCTGATGCTGATGACGATGATGATGATGAAAAGGATGATGATGATGATGATGATGATGATGATGATGATGATGATGATGATGATGATGATGATGATGATGATGATGATGATGATGATGATGATGATGATGATGATGATGATGCTGATGATGATGATGATGATGATGATGATGATGATGATGATGATGATGATGATGATGATGATGATGATGATGACGCGTGGGTGTCGAAGTGCAGTCTACGTCTACGTGGGCTCAGGCGGGGAGCCGACTACGCTGGTGTGCAGCACCAGCATGGACCTTGCAGAGCACTGCGGCAAGTGTTGATGCACCCCGCCGCGTGCCGCAGCACCTACGAGTGAGACAGGAGCGACCTGTCCCAGGCACTACAGGCCTGAGGGAACCGATGCGATGATGGCCCATGGACGCCATCTCCCAAAGGTGGGAACCGCCGCGAGGGAACCACCGCCTGAGGGAGCCGCCGTTCCTCCGTTTGGTCGAACGCCTTCTGGTCGTTGTACTGTTCGTCCATGATCGCTTTGCGCTTCGCCAGCGTAGGCTTCGCCGAGATGGGAACCGCCTGCGTAGGAACTGCCGCGCGGAAAGCGCCGCCGTAGGAGCCGCCCCTGGTTGCGTAGGAACCGCCAGCGTGGGAACAGCCGCGCCCAGGAGCCGCCTGCGTAGGAACTGCCGCTGTGGGGGACGCCTCCTGGGGAGCCGTTTTGGGAACCGCCGCGGGAACCATCGCCGTGGGAAACGCCGCCGGATGAGCCGCCGCCGCGGGACCAGCCTGGGAACCGCCGCCGTGGGAACCGCGTCCAAGGGAGCCGCCGCCGCGGGAACTGCCGCCGTGGGAGCAGCCGCCGCGGGAGCCGCCTTGGGAGCCGCCGCCGTAGGACCCGCTCGCCTCTGTGGAAACCGCCGCCGCGGGAACTGCCGCTGTGGGGGTCGCTCCGGTGTGGAAGCCGCCGTCGTGGGAGCCACAGCCGTGGGAGCCGCCGCCACAGCAGCCGCGGTGGTACTTGGGGGGACCCGCTTCGAGGAGCCGCCGCAGTGGGAGCCGCCACAACGGGAACCGTGGGAACTGCCATTATGGGAGCCACCTCCGTGGGAGTCGCAGCGGGGGCCGCCGTCGTGGGAACCGTTTCCGTGGGAGCCGCCGCCGTGGGAACCGCCCAATTGAAAACCGCCGCTGTGGGAACCGCTGCTGAGGGAACCGCCGCCGTGGGGGCCGCCTCCGTGGGAACCGCCGGCGCGGGTTGCCGTGGGAACCGCCACCTTGGCAGCCGCTTGCGTTGGAGCCGCCGCTTTGGGAGCCGCCGCCTTTGAAAGCGCCGCCGTGGGAGCTGCCGCCGTGGGAGCCGCCGCCTTGGGAGCCGCTTCCGTGGGAGCCGCCGCTTGAAGTGGGCCGCCCAGCGCCGCAAGTAGGAGCAACCACGAGGGGGGCCGAAGTTGAAAACCACATGCCAACCGAAAGGGAAGAGGACGCAATGGCACCAGATGGACAGGTCGAGCCCATAGATTGCTTGGCGCCGATGCCGCCAGCGCACGAGGGACGCGTGGATCCCGAGGGGAAAATGTAGGCGGACGTGAGCATGAGCGTGAATCGCTGCACCGCCGTTGCCAGAAAGCTGGGTCAGGCGCAGGAGTATGATGGTTTATGGTCGCGTGGGCGTCGAAGGACAGTGGACGTCTACGTGGGCACAGGCGGGGAGCCGACCACGCTGGTGTGCAGCACCAGCATGGACCTGGCAGTGCACTGCGGCGAGTGTTGCTGTAACCCGCCGCGTGCCGCAGCACCCGCGAGTGAGACAGGAATGGCCTGTCCCAGGCACTTCATGCCCTGAGGAACCGAAACGATGATGAGGATGAGGATGAGGAGGATGATGATGATGAGGAGGAGGAGGGGGAGGAGGAGGAGGAAGAGGATAACGAGGAGGATTAGGCTGACGATGATGATGTGGGTTGTGATTAAGATGAATATGAAACTGATGACACTGATGATTTTGATGGTGATACTGATGTTGGTGGCGATGGTGATGATGACGATGATGATGATGGTGATGATGATGGTGATCGTGGTGCTGATGATGACGATGCTAAGGATGGGTGGAGATAGTGGTGATGATGCTGATGATGCTGCTGATGATGATGACGATGATAAGGATTATGATCGGTGACGTACTGCAAGAACGTAGGATATCAGGAAAGCCAACACGTCGTGGGGCTTTGGCGGGGCGCCGCAATCGTGCTGTGCAGCCGCAGCGGTTGCCCGATGG